ATCCGCCTGCCAATGCAGGGGTCACGGGTTCCAGCCCTGGCCTGGAAAGATCCCACATACTGCAGAGCAACTAAGCCCTGCTCCACAACTACTGAAGCCCGCGCGCCTAGAGCCCGTTCTCCGCAACAAGAGAAGCCACCGCAATGAGAAGCCCACGCACCGCAAGGAAGAGCAGCCCCCGCTCGCCGCAACTAGGGAAAGCCCACGCACAGCAGCAACGAAGACCCAATGCAGCCAAAAATAAATTTTAAAAACTAATAAAATAAATAAATATCTAATTTTATATGTCAATTATACCTCAATAAAAGCTGGATTTAAAAAAATTAAAAGGTTTATGGGCTCTCAGAAGAGAAATCCTTTCCCCACTTTACTAGTCAAATCCAATCAAAGCTACAAGACCCTGAAAGAAAACTGGCCCCATCAGGTTTATTGGCAGCTGAGGTGCCTGTGAAGCCCTCTCGGTGCTACTGCATGCCGTGGGCACCAAAAAGGTCACAGTTTTCCAAGAATGAAAAAATAATGATCACCAACAGAGCTCTGGGATTTGAAGAAATGTTGTCCATAGGAAGGAGAATCACTAAGCAACAGTTTTTGGAGCCCATCAATAAAATGATGGACGTCTCTGCAGCCATCTTCACGGTCTTGAGGACCCTGACCCAACCCAAGGGTCTTCAACTCCCCCAGACATGCCCCGCCCAGTGAGGACACCACGCCAGAGGGGGTTCAAGAATCATTGGTCCTGATGTGTCAGGACTTTCTGGATCACAAGGGACTAGGCATACTTTCAAAGAAGGGGACAGATTTTTGGAGGGTTGAATTCGAATTTATTTTTATGAATTTTTTAAACTGAGATATAATTGACCCATAACATATTACTTTCAGGTGTCCACATAATGATTTGATATTTGTACATATTACAAAATGATTACCACGATAAGTCTAGTTAATATCTGTCACCACAGAGTGACTAATTTTCTTGTGATGAAAGCATTTAAGACCTACTGTCTTAGCAGCTTTAAAATACACAACACAGTACGGCTAACTATCCTGACCGTGCTGTACATCACATCCCCAGGACTTATTTATTTTATAACTGGAAGTCTGTACCTTTCCTTAGCGTATTTTGGCGGGGGCGGGGGGCCCATACCGTGCAGCATGTGGGATCCCGGCCAGAGATTGAACCCGCGCCCCCTGCATTGGAAGCTTGGAGTCTTAACCACTGGACCGCCAGTGAAGTCCCCTGGAAGTCTGTACCTATTGACCCCCTTCACCATTTCACCCACAAATCCTTTTTTATTTTTCCCTGTATACCAGTATCTAGCATAGTGGCTGGGACATACCAGGTACTTAATGTTTGTTGAATGAGTCACGAACATACCACTTCTTACTTAAAACACCCCAAGTCTATGAGGGGGCGAAAGGATAGCAAACCATGCTCTAGAGTTCATTGAGCTGAGGCGAGTCTCTCTTCGACAACCAACTGAATTACCTGTCAGCCACCTCGACATTTATTTCACACACCCCTTTTCCTGTGCCTCTTTTATAAAACCTCTCGTGTTGGGGAGGAAAAGCCAAGGTTCCAGCTGAGCCTGACGTCTCTTGCAGACCTAAGAAATCCTTCACTCTCTGCCAGATCTTTTCCTGATCCTTGTCCAGCAGATTATCTCTGTACTCCTGTCATACACCTTGAGTCCCTTTTGCCCCATTTTTCTCCTGCTTCCCACCCGTTCCTAGTCAAGCACCACCTCACTTTCTAAGCCTGCCCCGTGTCTCTCAGATTCCTTGATGCAATTTTAGTGCTGCCGAGTCCCGGTGCTGGATGTCAGGGGAACAGAACAGGAAAATTCCCTGCTCTGCGTTGATGTATTGTGTCTCTGTCCTAGATCTGGGCGTGTGTTTGCCTGTGAACTGCTTTTCCTTCAGCCGCAAATACAGAGCCCCTGGTGGAAAAAGTCCAGATCATTTGTGTTTTTTCTTGTCTACTTTTTTTTAGAAAGAAAACTTGATTCAAATGGATAAGCAAGTATTGGGGTCCGTTCTGTTGGGATTTTACTCATCTGTTTATTATGACAGAGCTGTGCTTATGAGCCGAAGATGGGATGTGCATTCTGGCTGAAGAGGTGGGAATGAAAACAGCAGCAGGTGAGGCTGGCCTGATGAGCCTTGAGTCCAGGTGCCGGCCTTGTCCTCTACGGAACTCTCTGCATCTCTTCTCTGGCACAATGATGGGCTGAAATCTACACAGATGTGGAGAATTATGGCTTGGAAACTTGAAATTTGTTTTCTGTAGCCATTTATCCCATTGTCTACACAGATGCCATTTGCATGAGAATTTAGAACATTCAAGGACAGGAATTGTGTATATAATTTATCAGTAATTTTACACTTGTTTGAGGGTGCATATTCAAAAACTCTCTCGTTGACATGTACACACTATATTTAAAATGGATAACCAACAAGGACCTACTGTATAGCACAGGGAACTCTGCTCAATATTACATAACAACCTAAATGAAAGAAGAATTTGAAAAAGAATAGATACATGTATATGTACAACTGAATCACTTTGCTGTACACCTGAAACTAACACATTGTTAATCAACTATACTGCAATATAAAATAAAAAGTTAAAAAAAATTTTCTCATAAAAAAAAAAAAGGAATATTCAAGAGTTTAGAAGACAGTTTTCTCTACCCCTGCCAGAGCCCTTTCACTCTCATAGCATTTAGAAACAGAAAGAGGCCCTCTGACGGCTTTGGTGCAGATCCTCGGGCAGGTCTGGCAGATACACTGCCTGGCATCCCTGGCTGTTCCAGGTCCTTTCCTTCCCCGAGTCCTTCTCTTCCAAGAGCAGAGCCCGTGCAGCTGGTCCCTCTGCAGCCACGTGGCCATAAACCGAGAGCAGCTGCTTTTCCCTCCCCATGGATCAGAGCTCCTGGACTCAGGAGAGGGAACAAGAATGCCCTGAAGGTGCCTTTAGCATCCACTGACACTGGTTCTCTAAGAAGAGTGAGTCTGTGAATTCAGTGGCCAAGAGTAAAGAGAGAGCTCTGTCCAAAGTTCTCTCCGACAGCCCTCGGGTGGAGCAGCTTTAGAAACCAACACCCTGGCCCCAGATAAGACCAGATGGGCGCTGACGGATGCTGGCCTCTGGAGAGAGATGCAAGCTCAGACTTCTGCCCCTCAGGGTGCTTCTCTTTCACCAAATAAACTGGATCACACACCTGGGAGCTGAGTCCACAAAAGGCCTGTTTTAAGCGTGGTTCCCCAAATTCCACAGTAAAATTCCTCCCTGGTGCTTGACTGAGGAGGTGGAGAAAAGGTGAAGGAAGTGGGAGTGACTGGGGTGCTCGCCGACACGCCCTAGTTCATCCCCTGTCCTTCAAGATCGCCCATGAGGCTAAGAGGAAAGAGTCAATTCATTTGCAAGGGGGGAGGGGGAGCTTGGGGGGTGGCAAACACTTTCCCTCTTTCAACTTCAAATGTGGAGTCTATGGTGCCCAGGAAAGTGAATAGAAAAGTGCTTGTGTGTGTGTCCACTTACAGTTTGTCCACTTGTTTTTGCAAGTGTGTCCATAGCTCTCCTTGGATTCTCAGAGAGGTCTGTAGGCCAAAGGGGGTTCAGAACTGTTGCCCTGTGTCCTCCATTATTTCACATCCCCTGTCATCGGGGACAGACACCCCGAGAATAGTGGTCCAGTAGCAGAAGACAAACCCCAGCTGTTGCCAAATTCCGTGGATAAGGAAACGTTGATTCCCTCCCGAATGACACTATCCCAGCCTCTACTCCTAAAGGAAGTGGAAATGAAACAGCTCTCTCCACCACGCCCCATCCAGGCATCATTTATTCCATGTGTGATACCCAGTACATCACATGACAACCTCCTCTCTGCCTCATCGCCCCATCCCAGGAGGATCAGGCCCCATGCAGGCATCCTTCCATCCTGGAGAGACTCCTTATCTATTCATTCTGGGCAAAAGAACTGTGACTAAAACGATCACTTGAGTACATCCTGTTCTTGTTTCCATTCTTAGTGGTACCTAAAGGGATTATTATAATCCAGGACTCTACAAAGGCATGGAAAGGATTGTGACCCTTGAGCTTGGCTAAGCAGACACACCTCAGTAACAAACTATAGACATTGCCCAGCTCTGCAACAGGATGTGGTTCTATGCCAACAGGAAGAATGGTGGAACCTTCACGCGGGAAGATTCGATGTGGGGATGTGTCTGCAGCCAGACTTTTTCCACTGGTGTTTCTGCTGTTGATATTTTTCACCCTTTTCCCACCCCCAACTGTTCAGTTCTTTACATCCATGTTAACAAAATACTTGCTAAGAATTATGAGTGTTTTTTTCTCATTCTGCAACTTTTCAAAGTCCAGACATGATGTAGAGAAACTTCATTCAGCAAAGGATTCCACCAACGGTACTATCCTTCCTGTTTTGCTAATACTCTAGGATGGCATTAATTTATCATCCAGGAGAAATGCTAAACCAGGATGACAGGTGCAGACAAAGACCATCCCAGGCCGCTGGGGGCGTCAGGTGGCCACCTTCTTACACAGTGATCTCTTCCTCACAGCTTTTATCTGCACCACCTGCCTCGTAGCGGAGCTCTCCCAGCTAAGGTAGTGAAGGGAGAAGATGCTTTGAAGCGGGAAGATAACCAGTTCCAAGTTCAAACACTACCTGAAAAAGAAAAATCTCCCATCATATGGAAGTCATGAACTCCACGTTCGTGCTCCTGGGTCGTAGCTTCACACGCTGGTGCCTGGCTGAGGTTTTGCTGTTCAGTCTTCCCATGTTCTTTTACACGTAGACTGGGCAATGTTATAGTTAATCCTCTGATTTCTCTCCATAAATTGCATATAAATTTAAGGCATCATTCAATCGTCATGTGATCAAAAAAAAAAAAAAATACCGAATCTCCACCAGGATTGTCAGGAGCCAGGGGTACAATGAAAAACAGCCCATCGTCATCCTGTCTTCTTTCCACAGCTTCGAAACGTGGCAGCAAACCTCTGCGTGGACAGCAAGCATGGAGCCACAGGGACCGAGCTGAGGCTGGATGTCTGTGTCAAGGACGGTTCTGAGAGGACGTGGTCTCATGAACAGGTGCGTCATGGGGGGAGGGGCTGAGGCAGGCGGGAGGTGCCAGTGTGGGAACAAATCTCTAGGTGGGACCTGGGTGAGGCCCTGAAAGGTCACCACCCAGCTCTGCAGTCAAGGGAATCACTTCACTTCTTTGCTTCCGTTTCTTCTCAGAACAGTCGTGATTGTTAATTGAGATCATGTATAAAAATATGCTTTAAATAATAGAAAGGGGGACTTCCCTGGTGACGCAGTGGTTAAGCACGCTCCCAATGCAGGGGGCCCGGGTTCGATCCCTGGTCAGGGAACTAGATCCCGCATGCCGCAAAGCAACTCAGAGTTCGCATGCCACAACTAAGGAGCCCACCTGCCGCAACTGAGACCCGGCGCAAGCAGATAAATAGATAAAATAAATACTAAAAAAAAATAAAAGGGTGGCAAAAGATAGACCATGCTTTTAAAAAGTTAATAATAACAGAAAGGGTGGTAGAGATGTTGACTGTCACCCTAGTCTTCTATTGCCTTTCCCAGAATGGTAATTTTCAAACCATGCAAAGCTTGTAGAGTGCTACGTAACTCTCCCAAGCAAATTTCATGGTTTTACTGAAAGACTCTCGGTTATTCTGTAAGTTTTTGTGACTTTCTCTAATCTTATTTCCCCCCTCTGGCTGTTTACTGAAAAGAATACTTTACATACACCTCTGGTCGTAGCAGCAGTTTGTAATCTTACACACAAAGGATCACTTGGAGGCAATAACTCCCCAGCATGGACTCCAGGGGAGGCTTTAAGACTATTTATTGCTTTTGCTTGAAAAACATTTCAGAGCAACTCAGTTTATTAAGTGAGGTATGATTCCTGACCCTCTTTGAAACACCCTTGAAAGGGACTTTCCTCACACTGTGTCATCTGTAAAAGAGGAGAGACGGTGGGTAGAATTATGTCTGCCCGTTTTTATTATTTGAATTTATTATTTGAATATTAAATTATAAAATATTTCAAATAGGAAACTATAAAAAAATTACGGCACACCCTGGTGTACTCATCACACGGATTGAACGAGTATCTACAGCTACTGCCATATTTTTAGAAGAAAAAAATGTACAGATACAGTGAAAACCCCTCCGCCCCCCCCCTCCCTCCCTCTACAAAAGGATACATCTCAAGTTCAAGATCCTATGTCGGGCTTATGCCTTGTCTCCCAGAATTGTCCACAATGCTTCTCTCATGAAAAGCAAGAGTAGGCAAGCAGTCTCCAGTAAGGCATTAGCTCTCTCCTCCAGCGGTTCCTCAAGTGTCCAATTTTTTTTTTTTTTTTTTTTTCGGTCCCCGCGGCTATACTGACATTTCAGTAAACATGGAATGCAAGTACAGGGACAAATTACATTTAAATGATTCAGTTTTGATACGTCCTGTGTTCAGATTCTTTGAATTACATTACCAAAGTGAATGTTATAAGTTTTTCCATGTGAAAAATACAGATTCGAGAGTTTTCTTTGCTTATTCATTCTCCAAGCGTAATCATAAACAAAAACAGAACCCAAACCGTCTTTCCTCCCCTCCCTTATACATAGGCGCATGTTTCCAGCAATGCGAGTGAAGATATCAGGATTAGATCCTCACCAGCAATATTATATTGCCATGGATATTGTGCCAGTGGACAACAAAAGCCGGACCGGGGCACGAACCCGTGTCCCCTGCATCGGCAGGCGGACTCTCAACCACTGCGCCAAGTGTCCATCTTGAACATCAAGTCAGTGAAGCTCCCCGTCCCCCAGCCTGGGTTCTCCACGAGTGGTTTGGGTGTGCAGACCCGGCCTGTCGGCCCCTCTCCACCGAGCATCCCCATCCCTCCGGCCTGCGGTACAGCGCAGAGCCGCTGATTCAGGAAAACAGCAGCAGCAGACCAAGCCCACGGCACAGCCCAGAGTCCACCCAAACAGCCCCTAACCCAACACCACCCCTCCCCGGCCGGGAACCGGGCCCCTGTCCTCTTCTCCCGCAGCCTCGTGGTCTTCTAGAAGGATCATGGGCCTTCGGTCAGGCCAACCTAGATCCCAGCCAGTTTAACCTGTGCGTCCGTGTGAAATCGTTATATCTTTCGAGGCCACAGTCCCTCCCCCTTTAAACAGGGACAATAACACCCACCTCACGGACAGAGTTATTATTGTGAGAATCAATATCGTCCGTGATGTCCCAGCATCTTGCACAGGTAGGAGGTGCAGAGCAAATATACTTTGTCTTCTGCCTTCTCACAACCTTCCCCGCAGATCGCTTTATACCAACCCCAAACTAGAAATCTCCCGCCGTCCAAGGCAGCTGCCAAACATCAAATACTACGTCTCACTCACTCAAATACGCCCTGCACGTGGGGACACGTATCAGATGGGTTTTAAAGAAGGCCCTGCAGCTCAAGGGTCACTGGGGGGTGTGGAATATCCGTGGAAGCTGACGGCCTACTCCATCCTCTGTCCCTTTCTATAAGCACCACGGGGATGTGACCAGGGTGGTGGACGGTGCCAGCCTGTTTCCCCCAAGAAGCAATTCAGACTGCAGCCTGGGAACAAAAGAGAAGGCTTCAAGGCCAGTCAGTAAGGCTGGAATCTAGGGTGGGAAAGGATATTTTTTAAAAAGAAAAAGGAGAATGCCATAAGGAAAATCCGTATCTGTTGGGTTAAAGTTCACTCTGCCATCTCCATTCAGCCCAACCAAGAGACACACCTATCCAGCTGGCTGATACGAAGGATGCATACCTGAATGCCTGGATCAGGTTGAACATCTCCATCCCCTGCAATGTGCTAGAATGAAATATGCTCTGGGCTGCAGATTTTGTTTGACGGCTGCACGTAAATATAAAGAAAACCAGCTACACTGCACACCTTAAAAATTTTTTGGTTCACTTCCTCCCCGACCCCGCCCCACCCCAAGCTAAACTGCAAAAAGCTATGACATGTAATTCCAGAAATAGTCACCAGAGGGAAGCACTAGACAAGCAGACAACTATCTAAGAGGAACGAAACTATCTAAGAGGAACGAGTTACTACAGCTCGTGAAAGAGATTTCCACCCTCTAGACACTTCTGAAAATGGGGCAATGCAACAAGGTTGAAAGGAGGTTAAGTCAATCATATCTGAAATATGTATCACCGTATACTGATGTGGAGGTTCAATCATCACAAGCTGCTTCGTTTTCTGGTAGTTAACTGTTTGCTTTTTTTGATATATTACTCAATGACTTCTAAAAATTAGGACTCATTCTGCTACATTTAGATTAAAATTCCCAGAGGAGAAAAGAATATCAGGACAGGAAAATGATAGGCACTCTTTTTGATTCAAAAGCATTCAAAGAACACGAAAGGGGCACTTATTAGAGCTGGAATGATTTTTTTCTTAATGGCAAAAATAAAACACAAATGAATAAACAAAATAGCCCTGTAGGGAGTTAAAGAGAGTCTCTGGAAGCACCTGGTAAGAAAATGGCTTTTGTCACAGAAGAGGGGGATGATTGAGGCTTCCCTGCAGGAAGGGAGCGTGCAGTTCATTTTCCAGCCCTCTGTCGCGGCATCACCGCAGCTCCGAGAGCTGGCTCTCAGTTCCCTATGGGGACCGAGAAAGAAAAGAAGAAAAAGGCCTTCATAGGACTGTGAGGTCTGGAAAGAACACTCCCCATGTGTCGTTAGGAGTCTGATGGAAAGGCGGGGCGTGGGGAGTCTTCGGTGCCAGGGGGCAGCCCTGACCTGTGCTGGGAGGAAGCCTGCGGGGGAGTCTCCGTCCTGCTGAGGACACTGCCCTGCCTAGAGCTGGACAGAGATGTGCAGAGATGGAGGCAGATCAGTGCACCTGGTACAGGACAGCTGATGGATACGCAGTGTCAGCCTCAGGACTGAGGATGCCAAACCACAAGGAGAAACATGCAGTAGCTCAGACATCTACCAACCACACGCCAATGCAATAAAATCTAACTAATCACAGAGAGAAAAATAGTTTCCATCTTCTCAGGTCAGGTAGCAACATTGAGACAATAAATTTACGTGCAGCAGCGAGGCTTGTGAGCTTGTTCGTATAACACAATACAGACTCGGGCAATGTTACACACACCAAGAAGTATGACTTACCTGTCAGTCCGAATCCGTTTTAAAGTATCACTTCAAAGAGGAAAGTGGAGAAATGAACATCAATTTACTCCAAGGCTGAGGAATTTGAGGCTGAAAAAAAATCAGGAGGTGTTGTGCAGGGAACCTGAATAAAATCTGAATACTTCTTTTCAGCGAGGAGCAGCCCAAGGGTTTGCAAACCATCAAATACGTGCATGATGTCTGTCTGTTTCTGCTTTGACACGATTGCACGGGGGCACGTGGGCCTAAGGAATGAGACGCTCGGTGCCTGATTGGTTCCTCACTACCATTAGGATAAGCTATGTGGCAGGAGACAGCATTTCAAAGACACGAGAGAGAAAAATCTTAGCTAATGGCAGGTGCAGAAGAATAAAGCCGCTTATATAATCTGAAGACGCATCTCCCGGGACGCAGGAAAGTAAGCACCAGGTGATAATCATAATACTAATGCCTCAAACACTGAAGCCTACAAGCTGATGCTCAGTCTGCACAGCTGAGAATGATTACTGCACCCTAGTAACAAGCCTGGAAACAAGAACTAAAAGTCACCCGAGGGTGCCCTAAGATGTAATTGTGACAGCAGATGAATAAATCAGCTGAGAGACAAATGTGCCCGTTTGCTTTCACGCAGGTATTCTTTTGGACTTGACTGATCTATTTAATAAAAAGTAAAGAAAGGAAACAGAAAGTAAAAAGTAAGAAAAGACTGTCTACAGAGGCGTACACAAGCCTGGACTCCTGAAGTGTGCCGGTGGCCAGCCCTTGCACTTCTGCAGGCCAATTGTCCCCAGCTGGGTGATGATGACAGAGCCTTTCAGCTCTGGCTTCTACATGTATAAAAACCAAAAAGAGGAAAAGAGACAAAGCAGAAAATCGATAAACCATCAAGGCCACCGGTTCCTGCGCGGGTTGCACTGCTTATAGTACCAAGGGGTTGTGATATTTAAATAACAAAGATTTAAGTAATGACAGGTGTACAGGCCAGGAAATTTTTATTCTAATAATAGGTAACTGAGCCTAGAATCGTTGAAAGTGAAAGCTCAAAAAAATTAATTATTGTTGTAATTAGACACAAACAACACAAATTCATTTGAGAACCTGAAAAGACGAATTATTAGTTCCTCTTGACAGTTATCCCAATGCCATTTCTGTTAATATAATGAGTGCGAGTTTTTACTTGTTCAATAGAAATTTCATTGGACATTAATTAAATGTCATGAATTGTTCTGGGTGCTGGAAACACAGAGATGAAGATGTGGTTCCTGCCATTACGGGTCTCACGGTCTAGTGAGGGATACAGAAATATAATTGGATAATCATGAGAAATAAGGTGGGGGATGGGAGGGAGGAAGGGAGGGGTTCAAAGAGAAGGCTTCTTAGCGAGTGGACACCTGAACTTAACCTTAAAGGACTACTGAGCAGTAACTAGGTTGGCCAGTGAACGTGGGCCTTCCAACCAGAGGAGCTCCTGTGAACAAAGTCACCGAAGGGGAAATACATACCACCTGATTAGTGCAAGGAACTACAGTTTTTTTAAACTGAAGTATAATTCACGTACAGTTTTATATTAGTTTCAGTAATACAACATATTGACTCGATATTTGTATCTATTGTGAAATGATTGCCCCAGTAAGTCTAGTTAACATTCGGCACCAAACATACAGAATTTTTCTCCTGTAATGAGAACTTTTAATATCTACTCTCTTAGCAACTTATAAATCTTTTATTGTTGATAGAACATAAACTAAAGGGAAAGGGATGCAGCTGGAAAACATGGCAAAGTCCAGATCGTGGAAAGTTCATGTGCTAAAGAGTCTGAACTTCATTCTCTAAGGGTTATGTGAAAATATGGTGAGATTTCAGGTTAAGAGGTAACATGGTCATATGGGCATTTTAAACTCTAATTCGAAAAGATACATGCACCCCAATGTTCACTGCACAAGTATCTACAATAGCCAAGACATGGAAGCAACCTAAGTGTCCATTGACAGAGGAATGGATAAACAAGATGTGGCACATGTATACAATGGAATACTCCTCAGCCATAAAAAAAGAATGAAATAATGCCATTTGCAGCAATATGAATGGACCTGGAGATTATCATACTAAGTGGAGTAAGCCAGAGACAAATATCATATGATATCACTTATATGTGGAATCTAAAAAAAAAATGATACAAATGAACTTAGGTACAAACAGAGATAGACCCACAGACATAGAAAACAAACTTATGGTACCAAAGGGGAAAGGCAGCGGAGGGATAAATTAGGAGTTTGGAATTAACATGTACACATTACTATATATAAAATAGCTAACCAACAGGGAACCATACTCAATGTTTTATAATAACCTATAAGGGAAAAGAATCTGAAAAAGAATAGATATATATGTATAAATGAATCACCGTGCTGTACACCTGAAACTAACACAAAGTTGTAAATCAGCTATACTTCAATTTATAGAAAATGATATGAAGGAACCAGAAGAGGAAGGTGGGGAAGAAAGCAATTAGAAGGTTATTTCAAGAGTCCAGACAAGAAACATTGAGAGCAAAGGTGGTGGAGACAGAGGGGAAGGGACCGCTTCCTGTAATACCTAGAAGACAAAAGTGATGAGACTTGGTGATGGAGTAGATGAAGATGATGAGGGAGACCAAGGACATAAAGACAACGGACTCCCAGGTTGAGAAGCTAATGATGTGACCAACTAAAACAAAACACAGGAGCAGAAACAGGTTTAGAAGGGAAGGAAGTCAATGGAACTCAGGATGTGGTGACTTTGAGATGTCCACAGGACACGTAGGAGGGAAATCCTACACAAGGTTGGACATAACACAGATGATGAGTTATCCACGTGCCAGCGAGAGTTAAACTGAGCATGTGTGAGACCAACCAGGGAAGGTGCAAGGATGGGATCTGAGGAACCCTGAGCTGGACCTACATTGAAGGGATACATAGAAACGGGATATGGGCAGGACAGAGTTCTAGGATAACACAGGGGCACAGTATCTCAAAAACCAAGGGAGCGGTAGGTCCCGATTTGAAGGAAGTGATCAAAACCAGAAATAGCTGAACAGACACTTTCCTTGAGAAATGACTCCCCTGCATAGGGTTTGAATGAATCTAAAAATGCCTCAGGGGCTTCGCTGGTGGCGCAGTGGTTGAGAGTCGGCCTGCCGGTGCAGGGGACGTGGGTTCGTGCCCCGGTCCGGGAAGATCCCACGTGCCGCGGAGCGGCTGGGCCCGTGAGCCATGGCCGCTGAGCCTGCACGTCCGGAGCCTGTGCTCCGCCACGGGAGAGGCCACAACAGTGAGAGGCCCGC